GTACAAGGAAGGCCCGAATTGGAAGAGCGGCGCTTTGGCCATTCAGATACAACCCCCCTCCCCCCACAGTATGATCAGCCCACCCCATCAGATGATCCTGTAATGAGTCAGCACCGGAGGCTGAGATCAGCGTGCTTGCTTCCCGTCAGGCCGGAGTCTCTTAGATGTGCCTGCAACAGGTCCCTACAGTCAGACTCCCCTCCGGCACTCACGGCCCGCAGCATGGTCAGGCGAATGTTGTGGGCCCGAGGTGGGGGTGTGGCCTCTCCATAGTGCCGCCGCTCCCCACCGCTTTGCCCTTCAGCCAGAGTGAGCTTCATGCCCGGGGGGTGCTTGGATGCAGCCCCTCAGCCTCTCTCTTTCAGAAAACAGAAGCGACGCCTAATTGGCCCCTGGAAGCAGCCTGAGGAGTGAGAAGGCTTGGCCTCAGTGGGCTCCTTTCAGACGCCTCTTCCCAGATCCTTGGTGGCTGTAGCCAAGGCGGGGGCACGGGGGGCGGCTTTAAAAGACCCTTCAGATGTCTGTTCTTCAGCTGCCGGCATGGTCACCTCTCCCTGGGCAGACTGTTAATGTGGCCGCCATTGTCGGTGGGCTGAATTAGCCATCGCACAATCCGGTGATCTGATTGGGTGGTGCCATGTGTTACGGGCCCAGAGAGCTCCAGCTTGGGGTCCGGCGCCCAGGGAGACGGGATTATTTCAGCGGTGAGGCTTCCCATTCGGTGTGTGGGGTGCTGAGGTGCACCCCTCACGGACTAAGCTCCCTTTGTTTGGCTGGATGCCTTCCAGAAACCTGACGCCTTGGGTGCATTTGCATTGAGGAGAGGCGTGGATGATGTCATTCAGGCCAGTTGTCACCAAGCCTGGTCCTACTGAGCCCCACTCTCTGGTGGCTTTGCGAGTTAAACCTGATTACTTTTTTCGGGAGGATTAGAGACACCTGTTGACTGCTCAGTAGTCACTTGTTTCCTGGCAACTTGTGGTAACTAGGCCTAATAAGTTTCTCAAACTAATGTGAGTATTATTGTTTAAAACATGAATTTCTTTGCGATGTGACTTTAACGGGGGTCTGAAGAGGATGCTTTGGAGTAGAGTGTATGCATGTGTGCAGGTGTGTGTGTGCACACGCACGCATATGTTCATATATATAATATATTGGAGGGTCTCCAGCAAGTAACTCAGTGTTCCAGAGCACTGCACAAAGATGGAATCGGCCAGTGGTGATGGCTGTCCTTTAATTCACTGAGAATCAGCCTTCTGTTAATGCAGCAGCACACACACATAAAGACCCCAGCGCCTTTATTGATTTTCCTTGGGTGTCGTCAGAATTTGGTGCAGGTCAACTGTAACTTATCTGCTTCCTTGACGTGTCAGCTTCTGCGTTTCATGTTGTTATCCAGGAGCAGGAAATGTCACAGAGGGCATCAAACCGAACCGTTCCCTCTGAGTCACATTTAAATTATATCTCTCCTTCTCATAACAGGCAGAGTACGGGGCCCAAGGGGGTATGATGTCTGTCTGAGGCTGCGGTGGGTGATGTTTATCTCGGGGCCTGCTGTCCTGGTCATGTGGACAGACAAACAGGACCTCCTTTTTATCTTCCGGTTCTTTTTTCAGGATTGGTGATATAGCCTTCAGAGACACTTAGAGGTTTGTTAAGACTGATAAAGATGTACCCAGGGAGTCTTGGTCAGCCTCCTGATGAAGAAGGCTGAAAGGTGATGAGATGATAGAACTCCGGTTGATAGAACATATGGTCACATATTCAAAAGAACCTCTAACATCAAGCAGAACTGCTAAAAACAAAACAGCTCTTGGTTAAAAATAAAATCTAACACTTCTGTTAGTGCAGTTTCACCTCCTGATGCAGGCTGGCTGTTAAAGAAATTGGGATTTAACATTTCCTCTTCTACTTCATGTTTGGATAGTGGTCCTTGTTCTGACTCCATGCTTAAAACGTGTTCGGTTCACACTGAGCCATGCGCTGCATTGCTGGATCTGGCATGAGCTGCACGCCAACAAATCAGGCTACTGTGATGCATATCTGTTTGGCAGTTAAATTCTCTACACTGGGAGCAAATTCGGAATGAAGCCTATGGTTAATTTATGACATTTAAAACCTCTTTCCTGGTAACTGCCTTTCTCTATGGTATGGTGTTGACCTGCTTTGGCATCAGGAACCGTCAATCAAACTGTTGCCTGAAACCCCCGTCTCTCTCCTGCCTTATTGTGGCCAGCTAACACATTGCCATGAGTTGAAAGAAACGTTCTGCGGTTCGACTCAAGTGTTACACAGACCTGAGCCATTGACTGCTGCATCACTTCTGACAAATAGGAAAGGCTTGGTATCGGTGGCAATCGGTGGCAATAAAACCAAAGGGGGTCTGCGGGTGGGCATGGCTCATTCAGAGGCTGTCATCTACCACATCCCCCCCTCCCCCCCCCCAAACCAGTGTTGTGCCGGTTTTATTTAAACGGAGCATGGTGCAGGGCTCATATGAGCATAATCCACTAAGGACGGCCCCCGGGCCGTAAACATTCCAGGTTATTTATTGACGGTCAAGAATATTGAGTTCAAATAGCACGCGGTCTTTCCTCGCAGATTATTGTGGGCCTCTTTAATTTCAGTTCTGCCGAAGGTTAATTTGTATAAAAAAAAAAATCAATTATTCAGGAATTGGATATTGGCTTAGGTTACGTGGTGACCCGCCATAGTTTTTAATGTAGTCCCATGTATCATTGTTTAGTGCAGCTTCTGTGGGGGTTTAAATTTTTTTTTTCTCCCAGTGATCTGTTTCATTTTCAGTGAATGAATATAGCAGTCCTGTCGCAGACGACAATTACTTTAATGTATGTTGTGAGATTGTGGCTTGGATGGCGAACATTTTACTGCTCTCACTGTACATGAGTTGCAGTAAGAGGAATGTGTGCATTGTTATTGAAAAGTGTGTACTGCGAGTTGTCTGTATGGAGGGCTTTACAAAACATTTTGTTGACATTTGTTTGATTAATAGGCTTTTTATAGAGACCTGGAATCGAATTGAAGGTGTTCCATGGATATGGGGAAATGTATTCAAGGGGTTATGGTTAGGCTTTAATGATTTGCAACATTTTTGGTCTCATCAGTATTCCACCAGGACGCAGTAATGCTATTTGCAAATTATTCCTTTCTGTGAGAATGGATAGTTACTAAAACGCACGCAAATACACACACACACACACACACACACACACAGAGGGTGCTGCCTTTTGCTGGTCACCCCTTGCAGTCATACCAGGCCAGAAGGTGGTCTGACCTACATTTTTGTTCCTCTTTCCTGGAAGGTGGTGTGACCACGGTGTGTGTCCTGCATTTGATGCATCCGCTCGGCATTAATGGGGCCTGCCTGTCTGTCAGAAACGTCTGCTTCCCTGGTGCTTCTCTGTTACTAACATTAAACTTAATTTAATAATAAATTATAATGTAAACATAATATTGCTATTAAGTGTTACACTACAGGATCTATGCAGTTTAAGATAAAGCCAGCATTTTGGCAGGTTTGTCTTTGCCTCGAAGGGAAAGAGGAGACTTCCTCGCTTCAGGCAAATGTCTGGCCTGTACTGAGTGCCTGGAAGGGCCATCTCTGTGTCTCTGCTCACGTTCAATCTAATTTTCAGGGTTTTTTTGTGCACGTGAGGCCCAGCATTAGTCACTGGCGACAGGAAATGCACTTTGTGAGCGTGATTCATGCTTGGCGAGAGCGTCCGTGATGTAATGTGACACCCGGGCTCCTCCTCCCTGCTTGGGCCGTGGGCTGCTCGCCTGATGGACGGCGATGGCGGAAAGCGTCACACGGTGCGATGCGAGCTTGCGCATCACAGGGATGTACTCGCATCATTTGAGATGAGCATGCTCAGAGCCAGTCGAGAGCGAGCTTGCGCATCGCACCCTGTAATTGCATTAAATCCAATTTAAAAAGAACTCTGAATGGATATGGGCTGGGGTCAGCCGGTGAATGAAAGGGCTGACTGTCGCAGGCTGGGACCCCTGTGTCAGAGAGCTCCCACACTGAGCGGTTCTTCTTCCTCACGTGCCGCAGCGGAGCTCAGTCATACCCACAGTCACCCCTCCTGTCTGCTCATCCTGTTGTTTTTTTTTTAATCGGACTCCTCAGTGGCACATTATGATGAGGTCACCCCTATCTCCCCCTCACCTTTATTACTGCCTTCCACAGAATGAGTTGCTGATCAAAAGAGCAGGAATATTTTTATTTATTCATCCCCCCCCCCCCACCCCCACCATGATAGTTTATCACATGTAATGTGATTCACCCTAAAGGTGGGATTTTTTTTTAATTCATTTTTTTTTTAAATACTGCTGTTAATCTCACTGTTACCTGTGAGAGGGGAAGAGGCTGTTGCGGCTATAATTAGCTTTGAGAGGAATCCCCTTCCGTGTCGGTTTGGGTCGACATCACTGTGACTCACCCACCTCCTTCGTTGGCTCTCAGCTTTTAAGTATGCCTCAGCTGCTCCAGGTCCGTGTCTCTGGCATTAAACAGAGATGGAGTTGGGGGCCATCTCCATCCCCAAGCCTGAGTGCCGCCCCTGCTTTGATTCCCTAAGCTTCGTCATGCCTAGCTGGGCACGGGTGCAGCCAGACCTGTTTTCTGCCCGGTCTGTCTCCTGCCGGTGTTCTGACTGCGAAATGCATCCGCTCTGAAGGTTCATCGGGGACAGAGATGGCATGATACTTATTTTATAGCTTAATTATTTTCCTCCTGATGAAATTCCTGTATCAGGCATGGGTTTAAAAGTGGTGGTGTTTCCAAATCTGTGTCATCGCACCTGTAAATGCTTAGTAATTTACCCCATTTAAAAGATGCTTACTTCAGATACTGCTGTTTTCTAATGGTGCTTTTTCCTCTCCTGAATAGACAGGGGTGCACTGTGCACACTTCTTTGTTTCTCAGAACATGCTTACCCTCTGAAGGTCTCACGCCATCCTTTCTTGGTCCCCAGGTCGACCATGAGAGGAGATGTGGGACGGCTCATCACACAGCTGAACTGACTATCCGCCGGCGATGAGAGGCACCGCAGGCAGGACACCGGCAGTCACCGGGATGTACTTGCATCATTAGAGATGAGCATGCTCAGAGCCAGTCGAGAGCAGCCTTGCCCCCTTGGGCACCGCCCTCCCCTGTGACGGGAAGGGTCCCCTAACCCCACCCCCCCAACCCTACCCACGGAAGTATAAGCCATGCGCTTGTGCAAAGGGCTGCCTCCCTGACCTGCTCTATGTAGGGCCCAAACCACTGTCCCACTGTGCCCTCCAACCTCAGCTCAGGTCCCTCCCCCTCCCAGTGACACCAACACCATGATGGAGATTCTCGTCAGAGCTTGAAGGAGAGCCGAGGCCTGGACCCGGCCCGTGCCTCCTCACCCCTTCCCCTTCACCCACCTCCGATTCCGTAGCAGACGGTTCTGAGTGCCAGGTTGTGGCGCACGGCCTCCCGCCCCTCTTCCAATGACCCAGGATGGCAGGTAGCCTGTGGACACTCGTGGACGTGTGATATCTCCCAAGGAACCTGTACCATGAATGGAGGAAAAGAGCGTTATGGAGCGGACCGGGAAGGACCGCCCTTCGCCGTGCAGGTGCCCATTGGTTGGCGCCGGGAGGCGGGGCCTGGCAGAGTGGTGTACATAAGGTAAGGGCTGAGTCATGTGCATCAACCCGGACATTTATTTCCATAACTGCTCATCCGGTGCAGGGTCATGGTGAGCCTGAGGCTTATTGCAAGAATCACAGGGCACTAGACAGGTGACAACTTAGAGGGGGTGGCAGCCCTTCTCAGTGGAGGGGGAGCAAACTCTGTGAGTCGATGAATTAATGTGCCGTTTTCAATGTGGCCTCCTCTCTTTGCAAGTTTGCAGCAGTGAGAGAGATGGGCCTGACGTCAGACTTTTTAATTGGGCAGGTTTATCAGCTGTATAAATGGACATGAAATATTACGATTTACAAAACAGAAATGTTACGGGCACCGGTTTCATGGTCTGCTGTGTTGAGGTCAGGTAATGTCATCCTTAACGAGGTGGTGGAGGAGGTGTTTGCAAACCTGGTGGCTGGCACATGGTGGTGATGCATTAGGTCAACTGCCTGCTTTCCCACCCAGCGCCTGATGGGCAGGTTCATAAGTGACACAACCTGAAACACAGAAGGTTCCCAACACGGCAGAATCCAGAAATGGCCATCATGGTGGAGATTGAGAAATGTTCCCAACGTCCTGTAAAGCATATTTGAAGTAGCGTTTCAGGTGACAGTGAGACTTGTGATGTGCCTGTATGAGTAGATTGATAATCTGGCGTCGTCGTTTCCACGGCTACAGCCTGACACTGCGCAGTTGGAGTCCTCCCCACCCCCCCTTGGCACAATAATGGATCTGGTGATGCTTTGATGCTGAGCCTTTATCCCCCCCCCCCCCCGGGCAATTCCACCAGAGTGCCCGGTCTACTTGCTGTCACTATCTTTATTCCAACCCCCTTGCATCGCACCTTAGTCATTTGGGGCCTCATAAGCCAGCAAAGCATCGTTTAGATGAATGATGTTGCCACCCAGCAAATTGAGCAGCAAAATGTGAGCTGCGATACCCTTTCTAGCCTCTGGGTTGCGACATCATGCAGGTGCTCGTTCATATGCCTTGACAGTGTCTATTTGTAACTCCTTCCCTCTGATTCCCTCTGACTTCCTTAGTCCCAGTGGCTCCATGCTTTCTTGCCTGGAGCAGGTAAGGACTTACCTGCTGACTGATGGCACCTGCAAGTGTGGCCTGGAATGTCCCCTCATCCTGCCCAAGGTGAGTCAGAGCCAGCTCAAGCCGGGCTGCATTATCAAGCCAGATCATCAAAGCGTGGTTCTTGGCAGGTTTTAGACATGCTACCATTGGGCGGTACAGAAACGCAAACTTCCACCACTTCCAGGTGTTCAACTTTGATCCCAGAGCAGCCGTCAGGCAGAGGACGGCGGAGGATGCGAAGGTTGATGAAGACGTCACCAAACTCTGCATCCACAAGAGGAAGATCATCGCCGTGGCAACACTGCACAAGAGCATGGAGACTCCGAATCCCTCTCTCGGATCGGTTCTGCACAGTCCGAGGGGGGTCACAGGTTAGTACAACCTTAGCCACGATTCTGATTTCAGCCATTTAAATGAATACCATTTTTTTTTTGAGCTGGGGGTCTGGAGTGAAGGTTTGGCGGCTCAGAGGCTCTGGCTGCCCTCAGTAACTTGTTAGTTATTAGTCTGCTTCGGATGGTCTCACAGAAAGCAGTGTCCATCATGCCCACTTGAACTTGGGTCTCTTCATTTATTCCAAGGACTGTGGTAGTCAGAATGATGCAGTGTAATGTGCATAAATGAGTGTTACACCGTTGCTGTTTCTGCCACAGACACCACGCTGCCAGCTGTCACTCGCTCGTCGACTCCCCGAGCAATAAGAAGCAAACTTCACGACAGGCCGCCCAACTCCCTGGCTGCTGACTGCCAGAACCCCTTCAAGTCCCTAATTCCGGGACAGCGGCCATACCAGCAGGACTTGGGCATGGCAACGCAGACTGACCCATTCGCCGGGCGGCCCCGGCTGAGGCTGGGCAGCGGTGAGCAGGACCGAAGGTCCCCGTACCGTGCCGTGCACGGCGGCTTGCTGAGTCCCGGGTCCTCAGGCTCGTTAGTCTATGGCGATGGCTCCCCATCCCCCAGGACTGACCCTCTGGGGAGCCCAGACGCCTTTGTCAGAGCCACGCCTAACGCTCTGCTCCATGGCTCCCCTGTCTCTCAGCCATCGTGCGTCATGGCAGGAAGAGCTAGCGTGCCCCTCTCTCCCACCCTCGCTGCCAAAAGCCCCATCATGAAGAAGCCCCCATGCAGCTTTGCCCCGGGCATGGATGCCTCCCGCACCGGATTTCACCACAAGCCGCCGCCACCACATCCCCTGCCACCCTTGCCACCCCCACCCTGTGTCCTGCAGAAGAAGCAGGTAACCTCCGAGAAGGACCCCCTTGGCATCCTGGACCCCATACCTAGCAAACCACTCACCCAGGGCCCCTTGGTGATGAATCCACCTGGCTTCCAACCCAGTGTCCACTCTCAGGTACCAGTGATGAATGTAAACATCCCCCCGGCCATTGTTCCGTTGCCGAGCAACCTCCCCTTGCCGACGGTCAAGCCCGCACCTGTCAGCCATGGCGGACACCCGCCAAGACTTCAGCATGCTGCCCCAACATCGGTGTCCTCTCCCCCAGTCACCTCACCGGTACACTTGGCGCCCTCCACCATGTGTCGAGTAGAGGCCTCACCCCAGAGGTCTCGCTCCTCCTCCTCCTCCTCTGAACATGGGAGCTTCACCTTGCCACCAGGGGGCGCCCAAGCAACCTGCGGTGGCTTTAAAGCCCCTCCCAGATCCCCCAGGTCCTCCATGGGTTCACCACGGCCTTCCATGCCTTCTAGTCCCTCCACAAAGCCCGATACGCACCACCTATACAAGGAGCAGATGCCAGTGGGCATGAATAGCGCCCTCAGCAGTCAGCATGGTGCTTTGTTCCCGCCAGCCTCAGGCAGCGGCATGCCCCAGAAAACCCACCCCGGGCTGCTGGGCATGCCCTTCAACCAGCTCCTCAATCATAACGCCGCCTCCTTCCCAGCCAGCAGCCTCCTGTCAGCAGCAGCCAAAGCACAGCTAGCCAATCAAAACAAACTGACGGGCGGAGTCGGCAGCGGCGCTAACGGGGTTCGCCCAGCAAGCGCGGACAGTCACGGTCCCTTGCCCCAAGCGTTCCCACCGAGCGTCACAGCAGCAGCCGCCAGCGAGGGTCAGAGTGGCCGAGCTGCGCTGCGGGACAAGCTCATGGCCCAGCAGAAGGATTCGTTGAGGAAGCGCAAGCAGCCCGAGGCAGAGCCCACAGCCCCCATGGGGCCCCCAGAGCATGCCAGAAAGGTGGCACGGCACGCTGGCCTTCACCCAGGCACCTCCATGGCACAGCTACTCCAGTCCATGAGCTGCCAGAGCTCCCTGAGTGCCGGGAACAGTGTGGCAGGCCAGCTGCACTTTGGGGAACCCAGCCTGCAGGGCCCGCAGATACCGCTGCGGCTCCACGCCACCGGAGAAGGGCAGCTCTGCACTGGCATGGACGGCAGGCCTATGCATGGGCGGGCCCACGGTCTCCAGGGTCCGTTACCGGGGCTGCCTAGCCAGGTCCAGGGTTCAGCGATGGCGGGCTGTGGGCCACGAGCTCTAGGCAGCCGTCTTCTGAGCCCATCAGGGAGCCACCTGTCGCTGGCTCACTCCAATCCCCACCTGCAGCAACACCACCAACACCAGATCCAGACGCACGGCCACCATCACTCCAGGGAACAGACTGCTGCATCTGCAGTCAATGGGGAAGTCTGCATGCAGTCCATCTCGGAGCAAGGTATGTCCAATGTGGATCTGTGACCAGCAGGAGATGCTCCTATATCTGTGAATGAATGAGTTTCATCCCTTTCATGCAATGGGGTGACCTTGTGCCTCAAGCTATGCTAAAAGTTTCCTAAGGAAGCCGGAAAAGATTGGGTCCGACTCCCTTGCTGTGAACACATTTGGAGATTACTACGCTAAGCCCTGAATCTCCTAGCAGCGTAATGTTTGGGTGCAGTGTCTGGACTGTGGCAGTACATTTATGGTCTGGCAGATGCTGTAAACCGATCGCATTGAGCTCTCATACACCCTTTATCGATCAGAAGGAGGTTCCACTGATGGCAGGTTGCATGTGAGCTAGCTGTGTATTAAGGTGTGCTCTGTGTGTGTTGTTCACATGACGCTCAGGTCACAGGGTGTCTATTGCTTAATTTCCCCAGATAGGTGATCGATATACATCACTGTATTTCCACTTAGCCAATAGTCGTCCTCATAACTCTGGCTGCCTGTTAGCAGCTCACCTCTCTTTTTAGAGTAAAGCGTAGCCTGTCTGTTAGTCTGGGCATTAAAATGTTTAAATTCGGCTCCCTGTTGGAAAACTGTTTGTTTCTTGTGAAATGAGAACTCAAAGGCCACGGAGGTTGTTGGTCTTGGTAATTTTTAATTTCTGCACAGGATAACAGTCAGTGATTGGTGGAGGTTGGGTGTGATGTATTACTGCTCTCTTCTGGTTGGCATGTTGACCATTTCCTGCTCCCGTTCCCTTGACTCTCTGCTGCATGGAATCCCCCAGAACCCAAGTGCAAATGACCCCCCCCACCCCCACCCCCAGCCAGCTGCTAGTTACCATGGCAAAGTTTCCCCAGCTGCTGCATCATTACTGTCAGAGACAGTGTATGCCGTCAGCGACAGTGGGAGCTGCAGCATTGTTTCCCTGCCCCTCCCCCTGTTCTGCTTCTCTGTGAACCTGGCCTTACCCTCCTCCTGAGCGCCTTGCAGCCACCAGAAAGACAAGCCCCTGAGCTCTGCCACACTGCTCGCCAGCGTCTGGTGTCCGGTTATGTCCAAGTTGCAACCGTCTCCCGGTCCCTGCATTGTCAATCTCTGTTCCCACCTGCTTTGCAGTCTCGGCTGGGAGTCCGCATAATGTCCACTTTCATGTACAAGTGACATAGCTCCTTCACTATACCATCACATCTCGTGTAGAAGAAGCTTTTGCAAGGGGCTATAAGTATAATGGCAGTCACCTCTGAGATTGAGAAAATGGCAAAAGAGCAAAGAGACGTCACATGTGTGACGGAATAAGAGCCTGACTCAGTTTATCCCAGCTGTATCTGTATTCCTTTCTCTCTCCCTGTGAGGTGATCTGCTGTACATAGTTGCCACATTAGCTAGGCTAATCTGAATGGTCATTTTTGTCAGCATCACCTTGGATATTTTACTGTACGTTGAAGAACACAGGGTACAGGAATAAAGATTGCAGCTGCCCTCCTGAAATGAGTTATGAGTTTTTTAAGTTCTACTCAACAGACAGTGATGATCAGCAATGTTTCACTTTTCTTCCTCTGGGATCCATACTTCTGAAAGGCAAAAATAAAACTGGGATTTTCCCACATTGGCTGAAGTGCCCCCTATGCGGTTCATTCGTCTGGATAGTCGTGGTCTGTCTCATGTAAACAGAGGTTGTCATAGTTAAGTGTGAGGTTCTGGATGTTCACAGGAACTAACCCTTGGAGTATCTGGCATTGAGCTTGTTTTTAGCCTGCAGGTCTGTGTTCTGGGGGAGCTGCTGACAGGGTGACAACCCCTGTGGCTCTACAGACAGTAAACTTAAAAGCCACCCCATAAACCCTCTTCCATTGTGGCCTTGCCTCCTGTAGGCATGTTTCTGAAAATCAGTTGTGGCATCCCCCCCCTCCTTTGCTATATGACTCCCCAGCCCACAGACTGCAGCTTCCCTTCGCTGTATGACCCAGAGGCCTATTGAAAGGGAGGAAGCCAATTAGCTTGTTTTCTGAAGGCAACGCTTAGAGCTCCCTCTATTGGCTAATTAGGGAAATTTGCAACAAATCCATGAAAGGTGAATAATGTTTTCTTATGTTGGGATAATGTGCCAATAGTCCAGTGTAGGAATATGCTAAAGATCAGAGTAAAACATTCTTTATAAATTATTTTTATACCTGAAATGCACCATACTCTAAATCAGTTTTAAACATTACCAGAGGTTCTGCCAGAGTTAATGCAGTTTGTGCACTGTGAAAGGACTTTTAAAACATTAATAATTCATGAAGAATTTCATGGCTCATCATGATAGAGTTCATAAAAGTGAGCAAACTGTAATGCCACAGATATCTTGTATACTGGTGCACAAATATATCCTATGCATAAGTTCTCTAACAACACTGAATGAAATGCACTGGTTGAGTTTAAAAATAACCTTGAGATATTTGACTTTGACCACCTGTTGTATTCTCTTTGGGCTCCTGCAGGCAGCGACTTGCTGAACTGTGGCCTAGGTAACCAGCACCTGGGTGGTCTACAGACACTCGTCCTTAACGGACTCGCGCACCCCCAGCCTAACAGGGTTCCGCAGGGGGCACAAAGGGGCCCGGCATTCCAGGGCCCGCACCCATTTCCAGAAAGTCCCGTTTCTGTCAGTACCCCTTCCAACCCCATGGCCTGCCTCTTCCAGAGCTTCCAGGTGAGCCATAGAGGAAAATGAATCGGACTACAGATTGCAATTTCTTTGTGAAATTCATTCATCAGGTTTTATGATGTTGTTGATGATGATGATGATGATGTTGATGATGTTTGTTTTTACATGACTTTGTTCTAGACGGGTATGGCAGAGAGCCTTTCGATGCCCAACAGGCAGATGAGCACTCGCTCTGACATGATGTCACTTCCTGAGCACCCAGTGACGCCACCGTTTCCGCCACCATTCCTGGAGGGCCCCTGTGCACCCCATTCCGAGGGGGACCGGGGTGAGTCTGTGGATTCCATCTACAGGACTGTGGCAGAGTCGGCGAGCAAGGGCATGCCGGCGGATGTCATGGCCCAGGCCAGCCCCGCCTCCGCCCCCGCCCCGAGCACCATGAGTGCCTTCACCGCCTCCACCAGGGAGCCTGTTGGCCTCCCTCATGCTCTCAGTTCTGTTGCCCATGGCCAGCGCATGTCTTGCCAGGAGACAGGGACGCAGCCCCGCCCCCACAGGGGGTGCCAGCCCTGCAGGGACTCTGAGCGTGTCAAGGACAATCCCGAGGGCACAGAAGACCATAATCGCTTCTGCTCCCCAGGACGAGGTGCCCCCCGGGGGCAATGGGAGCATGATGCCACACCATGCTCGGATGGCCCTCCCCCATGGCACGGCGATGAGTACCTCGAGTGCTCCGCCCGTGTCCGGGACAGCCCTCGCCCTGAGCCCCCCCACGACCGCAGTACCCAGCCCGAGGACAGTCCCCACTTCCGCAGCTGCCAGCGAGCCGCAGCCAACTTCAGGGAGCGGCTGGAGCAGACAGTGGAGCGCTGCAGCCAGCTGAATGGCGGCTTGCCGCTGCCTTGCGGCTACAAGGACGTGCTGGGCCATCCCAGGCCAGAGCTGCTGGCCGACGACGGGTCCCCAGGCTCCTCCACCAGCCTGGAGGGCCCACTTGCCAAGGACTATGTACTCTATAACGGCTACCACAACGGCTGCGCACCCAGTCCTTCCGACACCAAGAGTCTGAGCAGTGAGGAGGAGCTGCGGAACCCTGACTCGCCCTGCTCCAGTGAGCTCCTGCACTACCGGCCCCGCATGTTCAACGTGGGTGATCTGCTGTGGGGCCAGATCAAGGGCTTTCCCCCATGGGCCGGCAAGCTGGGCACGACCGAGCAGACGCACCACCCTGGGGTGCAGGACAGCCGGCAGGGAAAGGTGGGACACTCCCCAAACCCGCCATGTCATCCATTACCTCAATCCCACACTTTCCACCTTTGCTGATCTGACCATAGCATTCAAAGGAGGTCGCGTTGCCCCAGATGAGAGGCCGCCACTAACCCCAGGCGTCCATGGTGCCTTCCTAATGCATCCGTCTGCTCGTTTCTTCACCCAGGTGGAACCAGAGAAACTGAAGACACTAACAGAGGACCTGGAAGCGCTCAGCAGGGCCGCGAAGAGGAACGGGAAGTAAGTGACATGTATGTGAAGACCATGGCAAGCAGACAGATGCTTGTAAACAGCCTGTACCCCATTCACATTCAGCAGCTCATACAGTACATGCTGCTTTTCCATTGGTTTTTCCTCCACTCATTGTGCTGATGTGAGAGTAAATCCTCGTTCCATAAGCCATCCGTCATGTGCCACACTTTTTGTTAATTATAGTTTTAATATAAATGAATAGTTATGTGGGTGTAGGGCTGCACCCAACGATGGTCTCGGTGCTGGTTCTCCGGAGAGGGGCTGCCCGGCCATCCATGTGCAGGCTGCAGTGTTTTCCTGCCATGGGGTCCCTAGCAGGCCCTGCAGGCTGGTTCTCCTGCATCCAGTGTAGCTCTTCTCTCTGTCCTTTCACTATACTGCCCCTGTCAAAGATGAAAGCCCTCCCCCATTGGATCTTTGTATTATTAAAGTGAGCCCCTCCCCCACATGTTGCGTGGCTTCCCAGCCTTACAGTCTGAATGACCTCATTGTGGGAGGGGAGTGATACCTTACTGACCCACAGCCTCCCTTCAGATCCTAGTCACATCTCTCATTCCTTGACCAACTAGAGAAATCCTGCATGTGCAGATCCTGTGTACCCTATTCATATATGCATACGGTGCTGTATACTGTGCTATATTTACACACACATCTGGATGTGCTTGATTAGGGGCCCCTGGCAACATGTCTCCTTTCCCGACAGAGGTGGGAAGCTAAATGATCATCTAGAGGCTGCTATACAGGAGGCGATGAGTGGGCTGGACAGCATGACGGGAAGTGTGAGTATCTCTGCACTGGCCTTCTGTCATCAATTGACCTTCTCTGCCAAGTGGATGCAGGGACTACATTAATAGTGAAACAAAGGCAAAGTAAAATATAAAAAGTGGTTTTTCATTCTTGAAATGTGGAGTGGTCTCCTATCGATTGGTCACTCTGGATAGTGATGGTATCAGGATTCCCTCTATTCTGATATCACGTCTGAGCCTGCCAATGAGAGAGAGAAATGTGGAGAAAAAACCTGGTTCCGAGTGATCATTGGTTGAGAGGTTCTGTAACTGCTGGCCTGCCCTGTGCCACAACAATTCTGTAAAGGGCCCTCTTAGTAAATGCAGTAAATAGATGCGATAAAGGAAACTGGAGATGGTATAGGGGCAACCTTGAGAGATCTCTCACCGCTACAAAAAATGGCCTCCTGACATAACTCTGTGACGGAGGGAGAGATTGGAGATGGATGAAATCCTCTCCCTTTTTGTAGCACCAACAGTTAGCTCTGTTGCCTCACTCCTCTAGGACCAGAATTCAAGTCTCTGCCGTGGCTCCATGTGTGTGGAGTTTGCATGTTCTCCCCATGTCCTTCTGGGTTTTCTTTTAGATACTATGGTTTCCACCTAGTTAACAATTTGCCCATAGGTGTACATATGTAAATGAGTGGTGTGTGAATGTGCACTGTGATGGATTAGCATCCCGTCCTGGGTTATTCCCTGTCTTGCGCCCATAGCTTCCCAGACCCCTTGTGACCCTGAATAGGTTTAGCAGTTACAGAAGATGGATGGATGGTTCTTACAACGCCCTCTGTCTGTTACCCTCAGGTCCACCAGATGCCACCACGAGACAGACAGGTCAAGCCACCCAAACTCAAACGGAGGAAGATCTCCAGATAACACTGAATGTTAGCCATCGGTCCAGTGCCCAACCATGGAACTGTGTACATACAATGTCTTAACATTTCAGTGACACCCACCGACCCCACCCCATCCCCAGGTGCTATGGTCAAGCAGTGGTACAGTATGTCTCCTCCCTTTCTGCCTCAACACACAGACTGACCATGAAGGTGCTGGATTAGCCAATCAGAGACTGTACAGCGGCAGATGCAATTCGCCTGCAGCGTGCTGAAGAACTTTTTTTTTTTTCTAGAATACTGAAAAAACTAAATGGAAAAAGAACACGCATACATATGAAAAAATTCAGTCCAAATATTTCTGATACATTTTCAATATGTACATAGACAATTCAGAAATCTCATGGTGATATTTAGAAAAGCTGTATATATTGTATTATATTGTCATGTACAAGTATACCTGATGCACATTATCTTTTATTGTACAAAAAAAACAGAAAATGTGTGCAAAACTCTGGTTTTTATTCAGTACAGTCAATACAACTTAGAGTGTTTCCAGGATTATTATTAATAATAATAATAATAATAAAATGCAGCCTAAACCTTTCCTATGATCACGTGGAAGCCTGCTGTTTTGTACTGGATAGCAGGATTTCTGGTGTGGTTTATGTAATCCCTGGATAATGATGTACACTTCACGCCTGAAAAGTGGCCCTGTACATTTGTCTGAACAGAATGAACTTTACCAGCCAGAAGTACTTCTAGCTGCCCGTGGAAAGGAGCAGGACAGCACCAGAGTGACACACTAGCTCCTTCTAGCCTGGTCAATAGCCTGTTGTTGAAGTGAGTTCAGGCCCTTTCTGTTACTCCTTACTGATCACAGATTCACTGCTATTGGTATCATGGGGAAGATTTATATGAAAGTCCTTGGTTTTTAATCCGTTGTTCATCCATTAATAGTAAATCAGCAGTTTTCCTTTAATATTATTGATGATGCAACCCCGCAGGAGGACATTTGAGTAAATATGAGAGTTGTGTGAGTAAAGCAAGTAAACAAAGAAATGGCATGACTGAAGTCTGACAAAGGGAAATAGTAACTCAAGGAAAACCCGGGTATGCATCTGTCTGGCTACTGCACTGCAATATGCATTTGCTACACTATATAAAGCGTGCTGGGAATGGTCTAGTTTATCAAGGAAACATCAAGACACACAGGTCACTTTGTCCTTCCCCTTTAACACTCCAGCTGCAGTTTATCCAAATAAACCACAGAGTCTTTGTGACCTGAAATCGACTGCCAGAGACTGGACTACTCTCTACTTTGGTTTTTATTTTTTCAAACAGCGGGCTTAATCTGTGTTCTTTCTTTTACATTATTAATGTATACCATATTTATTTGAAGTCAAAATAATAGTTGGCAATAATACTAAAGTTGTAAACTGACGCGCCTTAGTGTGTACATATTATATATTTTTTTCTTGTACAGGAGGGACAGAATATTAGCGTTAGTAGTTAACAACATATAAATATATTTTTTTATTTAATAAATGTTTGTGTGTGTTTTTGTGTTTGTGTGTATACACACAGTACCTGCATCGTTGCTTTTAGTCTGTGTTACATGGCTAGGTTGTGTACTGGGTAATTTAATAGAGTACAGATGACTCAGGAAGACAGTGCTATTTCTTAGGGTACAGACTTCTGCAAGTAGACACTACTTATTTTTATAAGCACCACACTGAGAAGATTTGATTAGTTTTTGTTTAATTGATTAGGATATGACAGTTCAGATGCAATAATCAGGTGGGAGGGCTTAAGCAGAATGGTCCCTGCTGGCAGCATTAGGTGGCTGTCCATTGAAGATTCATGTAGGCTTCCTTCTACAGTGTTTGTTGTGTTTTCCAACTCCTCCCTGGAGGGTGGTCACTCCTCTTACTTCATTGAAGATAAACCATCCCCCAAAGCGCAAAGAGCGCAGGACAGCTACTGGTCTGGGATGCTGTTTCCTGTGTCCATCGGTGTTGGGATTGCCTTTTTAGGGGACAGGAGCTGTGGGAGACACCAATAATTCACTGAATGGACCAGCACCACCTGCTTTATAACTGTGCATGGAGGGACCACGTCAAGCTTCTCAAACAGATGGATCCATACCTAGTTCAGTATTTATGCACACGAGGGGCTGGATAGCATGTTGCCATAGTTACAGATTGCTTGTTTATTATGCCGTAAGTGTGTCTAATTGTCCACTTGTATTTTAACAGGCAGACCTGTTCGTGCTCATGCATGGTCACATTTTTACAGTGTTTTACCCAGGAATCATTAGTCCAAAGCTTTGCTTTTAATTTTTAACCATCGAAAATGGATGAAATAGCCTCCTTGTCCAATGAGGTTCACAGTCATGCAGTGCTTTGAATTATGTATCACATGATGCATTGAAAGCCTGTGTAAAAGTCATATGACTGATGCCAGGAAAGAGAGACATCAGCCCCATTGGTAAAGTTCATTCTGCCTCTTGTGCAATGGCTTGGAGATCACAACTGAATCCCACATGTCAGATCTGTCATTCAATGTTCCACTGTTTTCATTGTCTAAACCTTGATGTGTTCCCTTTCAAAATATATTTTTATATATATTTTCCCCTGAGTTGTTCTCCTATTGTTTTGTGGTTTTTCTTTGATAGTGTGCCTGTGAGTGTTTATATATAGTATTTGCACCCCCCACCCTTAAAAACTGTATTTAGTATGACCAAAACATTTTTGTTTTATATAATTGTGTCAACACTTGAATTTGTAAAGTATATTTAAGCACTTGAGTTTGTTTTTGCAGATAGTGTTGGCGTGGGTGCTAGAAATATATATTTTTTTGGAAGATGATCATTGGTTTTAATTTCTGTTTTATGTAAGCAGAATTGTAATGTAAATACATGTGAGAAATGCAGTCGGTGCACCAATGTAACAGTTTCAGCAACGTTACACCACGTTAAAATTTCAATATGGTCATTCATACTTAAAACTTTGTTGGCATATCTTGGTTTATATTGCTCGTTATAAATATTTAAAGGAGATTATTTGCATTTCAGAACTACTCTTTTTTTTTTTTTATCTTTCTAAGGCAGGAGTAGTTTTAGTTTAGAAAGCTATATTTTAAAATACAGATGATCAAAGATGGCCACATTTGTCTAAAATCTTGGTGTGCTGTGTTTAGCATTTCCAAAGGGATTTACAAAAGGTATACATTGCATTCAGTTGCAATAAAATGATGCTGTACTGAGTATATACTATTTCCATGATATTTGTTTGCTTTAACATTTTCATCAAATCATAACCATGGCTTTGCATGCATTTAGACACAGCTCAAAATGTAGGGAGAGGGATCAAAGTTCTGGTAAGTAACAGATGAGGAATCAGGCTACTCAGCAGATGCTATTCCACACAACCATGGAGCCAATGCAGTATTGCAAAAAAAAAAAAAAAAAAACCATGCTTGGTTTTGCCCCCTGGCACACTAACAACCACATGTCTGTGCACAGTACATGTGGCCACCTCTGGTTACCATGTACATGCATGTTCCTTTCAAGGTCATGTTATCCCATGACTAATAATGGGATGGTGCTGCCTGCATAAGGTTTTGAAATGTACCTCAAAGCAAACCATATTCAGCTTTATTTAAAATAAGGCGAAAAACTGCTTCTTATCCATGGACTCTGAAAACCAAGCTTATGGCAAGTAATACTGTACAATTACAGCTATTTGAATCGACCTGCTAGTATTGATGGGGAGAATTAGACCCTCAGTGAGTGGGATTAGCTAAGTTGTCATTCAATCATATAGTTCAACTATATGGGAACCAACCATGTAATCAGTGGCGCAGGCAGTGCTGTGGCCTTGAGTTCAGCACCCCAGCTATGCAGGAGCGCAGTGCCACAAACTGACTTTGGATCCATCAGAATCCAGATTTTCAGTGTAAATGTATCCAGTACTGCTTACTTAAACTTCTTGTAAGGCCTGTAGATGCAGAAAACAAATCTTGGTCACTGTCAGTACTTGTACATGACTAGAACAGATTGTCAGTTCCATTACAAGTATTGCTGATGTCTCACTGTCAAACCTGTTGTAACTCACTTAATCTGTCATTTTTACAAGCAGATGTTCTTTGTGAAATGTACAATAATGTACCTCTGAAACGCTGAAGATCAAATAGAAAAACCTAACAGGGAACAGGTTTCATGTGGATGTGTAAGGCCTATTTCAGGAAAGGTATGTCTCCTGCAAAGCGTGTACCTGCAGTCTCTTTTTTGCAGTGCTATTTAAGAAATGGGATGTGGAAAATGGAGAATAGTTAAGACTGAATAAGTAAAAGTCTTAAAAATACAGAGTATATAATTTCAAGATGCGTACAAATGATACGGATACCATAAATACTCGGTACCATAAATTTGTATTTAAATGAAGCAGCATTAAGTATTTGAAGCAAAGACCTTAAAAAAATCATCACTCCACCTTCCGTATAAGAACAGCGGAAGATTATATGACATTGTATTGTATTCTTTTATATATATATAAATAAAGATCCGGTCTTATTCCGCTTTTAATGCTGGCTACGTCGTTTAAAAAAAAAATCAAAAATTAAAAACCAGTTACTACCAACTACATGTGTGTACTTAAGATGAACAATTTGACTGAAGAACTGTAATTACAATGACTTAACTTTCCATGTAGCTTTGACTAGTTGTGTAGATATGATTCATTCAAGGATAGGACAAATCTGACACAACCCCATCCAACACACACACTCTTGTATCCAACACGCAACTCTTACGTCCCACATGTTACATGTTACATGCGCGTGCAAGTGTGCAGAGTGAGTTGCGCGCGCAGCGCAACGCCGCGGCCCGCGCGCGTCGGTCGTCGGGCGTCTCGCGCTGGCTGCCGGGATCGCCTTGCCGCTTTGTGGAAATGTCCGCCATGTTTTTCATGGCGCAGGGAGCGGATCGAACGAGAGAAAAAGGGCTTTAAATCCAGTTAAACTTAACCAAAAATGGCTTCTCAGACTGGATCACCCGCCAACGGGAACCTGTCAGTTCGACCACAGTGAAACGCGTCGGGTCCCTCGGTCTCTTTCGACCGAAATTTTATGCGGATTCTGACGGGATACATGTTTCCTTCACGTTTACGTTGTTGAGATAGACGAAAACGATGAGTAAACTATCCTTCCGAGCGCGGGCGCTAGACGCCGCCAAACCTCTCCCCGTATACCGAAACAGAGACCTTCCGGACATCAACGACTGCCTCTCCATCAACCGGGCCGTGCCTCAGATGCCAACCGGAATGGAGAAAGAAGAGGAGTTGGTAGGGAGAAAATATTTTTATATTATTTTGTTGTTACGCCCCGAGTAAGCAGGGCATCGGTATTCTGTATGTGTTTACGCAACGATATTAGCGCAAAAGTTGATTCGGATATGCAGGAGTCAGCGCAGTTTACGTACATGGCGTATACTATTCCAGTACGAGGGTGCATTTTTACGTTTTTACCGTAGAGAAAGTATCTTACGTAGGGTAGCGGTAAATCCGGATGTGACGCAATATATGTGTGCGTAAGTGCGGTCGTGAATGCCCGGCACCGCTTCGTATAGTGATTAGTTGTAGCCGGCGGCTTGTGTTCATTTACGCGTGCTGTGATTTGCGCCAAAGCGGTCCAGTGCAGTTCGGTGGTGCTTTCGTGCATTTCTGTTAATGAAAAGTGTAAGCTAAAACAGACCGACTCTCCCAATTGACTGTTGCTGACGCCGCCTGTCCCCCAAAACCTTATAATGCCGCCCGATCGCTCTGTCCGACGTGTAGTGGTAGGGATTTCCAGCGTTCAAGGCTGTTGACAAACTGGACACCCTCTTAATAAAACTGAATGTCTCCAATGAAGGTAGCTGTTAGACATGTAGTACTGCTACATTTCATTAAAGCATTATTTCCTTTTAAGTCACTGCCATTACCTGGATCAATGGTGACAATGGTGGTTTACTGAGTGTTGTGATTTCCTTGATTAAAAAAATAATTTATCTTCTAGAAAAGGTTGCTTTCTTTCACAAAATTCCACATGTATCTCATATATTTGTTGCATTTTGCGTTTTGTGCTTCATATGAAACTCGACTGACCATGACCACTGTGCAATGTAACATATGGGAGCAGTAGGCAGAGTATTGGTTACGGGTATGGACTTGAATCTGAAGGCTTTTTGTTTTTTCCATTTCCACAAGGGTTCCTCTTCTAGTACCTTAATGCTTACTGTGGCTTGGTTTCTCAGGCAGTAGCACTATTGCTTTACACCTGTGGGATTTTTTTTTTTGGGGGGGGGGTTAGAATCCCAGTTTCTTTCCATTCGTGAAGTTTACATGTAATGTGTGTTTTCTCCCACAGTACTCAGACATGCAGTTTAGAAAATCAGTACATCATAGCCTATTATGTGTGTGTGTATGTATGTCTGTGTGTGTGTGTGTGTGTGTGTGTGTGTGTGTGTGTGAGAGAGAGTGAGAGTGTGTATACATATGTGCCCTTTCATAAACTGGCATCCAGTTCAGGCTATACCCCTGCCTTTTGTATAGGATAACCAGTGGGAAGCTGTGAGAAAGTTTTGCCTGTTGATGGATATTTTTAATTGATTTGAATGGTAGATGATGATGGCGAGCATTTTAGAAAATGGTGTTTTCATTTTATTTTTAGCACAAAATTTTGGGTGGGTCTTATTAACCAGCGAGGAGTGGTGTGTAGAACTGAAGTGTGTGCGCATGTCTGTGCTACTGCGTAGACAGTATTTCAGCTGATTTCATCAGTTCTACACTGTATCTTGGGAGCAGTAGCACAGGGGTTTGTGGGGAGGCTGGATAAGAAGCCATTGCGCTGTGTCTCCTAGGAACACCATCTCCAGAGAGCCATTTCGGCACAGCAGGTCTTCAGGGAGAAGAAGGAGACTATGGTCATTCCAGTGCCCGAGGCTCAGAGCAACATCACCTATTATGACCGTCTGTACAAGGGGGAGTTCAGGATCCCTAAACAGCTCATCCACATTCAGCGTGAGTGGCCTTTGACCTGGAAGAGGCTTCATTGCTCCACCAAACAGATTCTGTCTTACCTGGGTATTTTACTGCTCTGTTGTAAGTCGGTCTGGTCTCATCTAGAGAGGTGCTGTATTTTCATCATCGCATCTCTAACAGATGGGATAAGGAGTGGTGCCCCTTACGCTTCATTATGCACAAAGGTATAACCAGTCCTTGTCTATTCCTCCAGCATTCAGCCTGGACAACGAGCAGCCTGATTATGACATGGACTCAGAGGATGAAACACTCCTCAACAGACTTAATCGAAAGATGGAGATAAAGCAAGTCCAGTTTGAAAACATGGTGGACAGGCTGGAGAAGGCTAGCACAAACCAGGTACTGTGTGTGCATGGTTGTGTGAAGGTAACACTCTTTGCATTTACCTCTGTGGAGTCCTGGCTGACTAACCTGTGTTTTCTAAAGAACCTTACAATCTTTCTGCAGCTTGTCAGTTTTCAAGAAGCCAAACTGTTGCTAAATGAGGACGACTACCTTCTCAAGTCGGTGTACGATTACTGGGTGAGGAAGCGGAAGAACTGCCGAGGGCCCTCACTCATTCCTCAGGTCAAGCAGGAGAAGAGGGACGGCTCCACCAACAATGACCCGTATGTGGCCTTCCGACGGAGAACGGAAAAGATGCAGACGAGGAAGGTGAGAGAGTCGTGTTATCCCAAAATCACTCTCAGCTCCTGTCACGTTCCACTGCGCATTATTCATTTTTCATATTGTTCACCCCCTGCTAGAATCGTAAGAATGACGAGGCCTCATATGAGAAGATGCTGAAGCTGAGGAGGGAATTTAGCCGGACGGTGACCATCTTAGAAATGATCAAAAGGCGAGAGAAGTCCAAACGGGAGCTTCTGCATCTGACCCTGGAGGTGGTAGAGAAAAGGTGAGGGGCTCTCAGTCTTTCTCTGCTAGTCCACTTCTGTGCCTGTTGTGGTGTTTGTAAGCAGCTTCAAGGTCCAGTTCTGCTGCAAAGAAAACCCTTTTTTGTCCACATTTGTGTGTTTGTAGGTATCAGCTTGGGGATTTTGGAGGGGAAATTCTTAATGAAGTGGCTGTTCCGCTGACAGAGAAACCTGTTTATAGTATTCCGTCTCTTTCAAATGGAAACCACTACAAAATAGAAAATAAAATAAAGGTAATTCTTTCAATTGTTATTTGAGTTCCTGCTTTATCATATGGATACATGGCAGTAATGTTTGACCTAGATAACCATAGTTACAGATTGTATTGCAGTGTTGAGTAGAATGGGTGTTTACTATTTTCCTTTTGCAGCATCAACCCCACATCTCAGTTAGGGATGACTCGCATTTTGAGGTTCGACCAAAGAAGAAACATCACATTAAAAAAGCTAAACTCGACACCTTCCGCCAGCCCCGGACTGATCAATCCACAATCAGCAAGTGTGACATCAAGCAGTATGACTTTCACAGCTCCGGAGACGAGGACTACCCACAGGTGAGTGCATCCTGAATATCCCTCTGCCATTTGTGCATTATCTCCATTTTCCACATAAATAGTTAGTTATTTCAGCTATTGTGTCATTTTTCTGCAGAGCTTAACCGTACTGTTTGTCCCCTACACTGTCTAAGTTGTGCTGTATTTTCTCGCAGGTCCAGTCTCCTGCATCTGAACCAGATGAGGAGAATGACCCTGATGGGCTTTTTGCATTCAGAAGGAAAGCTGGATGCCAGTATCATGCTGTGAGTTACTTTGTCCTTTTTCAAAAAATATATAAAATATAGGTCACTATCAGATACTAACATTTAAAATCTGGTAGATGAATGATGTTTCATGCAGCCAAAGCTGTCCTGTCACATGTGTCATACGGATGACAAAAACAAATAACAAACAGAATAGTTCAGCTACCAGCTTGGCAAGTTCTGTAACTGCCCCGCCATCTGTCCCCCCCCTGTAGTCCCTGGAGCAAAGCGGCAACCTGTTATGGGATCACCCTGAGCTGGCTGGAATGTCACCGCTGCCCTTCAGGCACTCCCACGTGGTCCTGTCCGTCCCCTGGCGCTGTCTGGGTCTGGCCCGGCGCAGGATGGGCCGCGGTGGCCGGTATGCTGACCCCGGCTTCGTGGAACATTTGCACATTTGGAATCATGCATGCGGTGCTGGGGTTTTCTCTTTTGGTTTGTGGTTGATTTAAAAAGTCACAGGAAGCTTGTTCCATCCATTCTCAGGGTTATTCTGGACCGGACGTCATCAGAATATGATCAGATCCTGAAGCCGCTGGACCCTGAAGTGTTTACCTCCAGTCCTGATAGTGCAGCCTCCCACTTTATGGACCCTTCCACATGGACAAATGCTTCCAGAACACTTCCTGGGCAGGCCGGCTCACTTGCGGAGATACTAAGTAATATTAAAGCATGTCGCTTGCGGTGCTTCCGGCCCCGGTCAACACAGCACAAGGACAACAGCAGGACAAAAGTGAGCTTGAATGAGAGCAGCAGGGCGTCAGGAGCATCTCCCACTGCTCTCAGTACTTCCAGAAAAGGTGCTTCAGGTAGGCAGCTGATGGCTTTATTTGTTGTTACTGAGCATGGAAGGGTTTGAGTTTGGCTACTGAGGTATTCAGCATGTACTGTAGGATGTCTTCATATTTTACGTGGAAGTGGGCATGCCGTAGTGCTGGCCCGTCTGCAATCCTGAATGTTTGTTCTTGTAGCCCCAATTCGCCAGACAGCTGTGTACTTTGACATTAGACCTGGGGTTAACCTGTAGAGCAAAGCTGCTCTTAAGTCACATTTATGAGATGTGGTATGGATGTTATGAGAATAAGAATTTTACTAGAAACTAACCGTGCACTATGGACTTGCAGTATGCAAGTCAGGCGTATTATCGTTCATGAAAATATTTCCATAAAACAAGATGCAAAAATATTCACCATTTTGTAGTAGCAAATTTTCCTATAAATAAAATTTCAAAAACTTAAAATATAAACTAGGTCTTAAAAATCAAAACTAATGAAACCATAGGGAAAACTAGACTAAATTTTAACCAAAAATACATATAAAAACTAAACTAATTTGTGGGAGTATTTATAATCCTGTAGCAAAGAATTGTATAAATGCCAATATTTCTGGACTTCTAGTCAATTATTCTTCAAATCTGCTAGCCATTTTTGTCACTTTCTTGATCAAGGTTCGCTTACATCACTTAGCGGAGTCTCCCTTGTATGAATTTTCAAATGTTGCTCAGCCTCGATTGCAGCTCCTCTCTGTGGTGTCTAAGGTAGTGATGTGGCACTGCCA